CCCCTCCGCCCTCCCCGGGAGGAAGTTGCAGGCGGTGGGGGGGAACCCCAGCGGCTCCGGGAAGCTCCCCGGTTCCTTCCTGCAAGGGGTGTCTTTGGGGTGGGGGCACAGGCCGGCCTGGGGTGGGTGCCCTGCCCGCTTCCTGGCCCCCTCCCCACGGCCGAGCAGGGAGGGTCACTCCAGCTGCTGCCAGCGCAGGGCTGGGAGGCGGTCTGTTCTGAGTCATTCTGGCCTGTGTCACTTCTCAGAAACCTCCACCCCCCATCCCGGCCCCTGGGGAGACAGGGCGCTGGCCAAGCCTCAGGGCCGGGGCTGGGGAAGACAGGGTCGGAGGGTCGAGCGGCGTGCCCCTGCCCTCCCTCCGCCGAGAGAGAGGGTGGGTGGCGGTGCTTGTTCACGGTGCCTCGGGCCCCCTGGGGACTCCACCCCCACTGGCCAGGGCCCCCTTCCTGCAGCCATGCCGCCGCCCCCTGGGCCTCTGCCCCGCCCAGGACAGATAAATATTTATCTTGAGAAAGCAAAGGTTAGGACGGAAGAATTTGTCCAGGAATTCCGCCCACTCACTGGCCTGGTGACTTAGCCGGGAGGGGCCGGGGACGGGTCTCTCTCCCATGTCCCCAGGCTGGAGAGGGTGGGCAGACGGTGAGGAGAGGGTCAGCTGAGGTCAGGGACTGACTGCCATCTGGGCCCCGTCCCCCACCTCAGTTTCCCCGGAAAGGACCAAGTTGGCCAGGGAGGACCAGGCCTCTGTCTGACCCGCCTCTGTCCCCCACAGCCCCCAGCGGCGCCCGGGCCGGGCCGGGCTGGCAGAGGAGGCTTCCGGAAATACAGATTCATTTTATTTAAGCGTCCGTGGCACCGACAGGGACCCCAGAGCCCAGAGAGGGGCGGCGAGAGGCCCCAGGTCACACAGCGCTGGGGGGGTCGGGCCGGGCCGGGCTGGGGGCACCGCAGGCCGGGACCCTGGGCTGACGGGTTGTTCCCTCTGCAGGTCAGTGACTTCTTGTCGGGCCGCTCACCGCTGACCCTGGCACTCCGGGTGGGTGACCACATGATGTTCGTGCAGCTGCAGCTGGCCGCCCAGCACGCCCCACTGCAGCACCGCCACGTGCTGGCCGCCGCTGCGGCTGCAGCCGCCGCAGCGCGAGGGGACCCCAGCACAGCCACCCCTGTGTCCGCGCCCTGCCGGCCGGTGTCCAGTGCCGCCCGTGTCCCCCCAGTGCCCACCAGCCCTTCCCCCGCGTCCCCCTCGCCCGTCACAGCTGGCTCCTTCCGATCCCATGCAGCCTCTGCTGCCTGCCCCGAGGTGAGTCTGGGAAGGGCTAGCCTCAGAATGCCAGGTGGTTGTGGTGGCACTTAGGAGGACAAGGCCGAGCCCCAAGTGTGTCTGGGGAGCAGGGACTGATCTTTGACCCTGGACTGGTAGTCATCCCCGGACCCTGGTCTGGTGGGGTATCTCTTGACCCAGGGCTGGTGGTGATCCCGACCCTGGGCTATCTCGACCCTGGGCTATCTCGAGACTCTGGGCTGATGTGTTGCCTTCAAACAGTGGCTCAGTGGGTTATCTCTAGACCCTGGGTTTATGCATTTACCTTTAGACAACCTGGTGGATAACCCTGAGACCTAGGCTGATAGGTTATCTCTAGGCCTTGGGTTATCTCCCTACCCTGAGTTGACGCGTTTGTCTTTAGACACTGGCCTGGTGGGTTATCCTGAGACCTGAGTAAATGGGTTATCTCTAGACCCTGGGCTTATTTAGGGGTTATTTCCCTACCCTGAGTTGATGCCTTTGCCTTTAGATACTGGCCTGGTGGGTTATCCTGACACCAGAGCTAATGGGTTATCTCTAGACTCTCGGCTTATGGGCCGGTTTATGGGCCGACCCTGGGTTGATGCATTTACTTTTAGATACTGCTCGGTGGGCTATCTCTAGACCCTGGGTTATCTCCTTGCCCTGGGTTGACACATTGACTTTTAGACACCGGCCTGGTGGGGTTGTCTCCTGATTCTGGGCTGATGCGTTTACTTGTAGACGGTGCCTTGGTGGGTTATTCTGAGACCTGGGCTGGTAGATTGCCGCTAGATCCTGGGCTGGAAGTGAAGTCTTACCTGGGCCCCCGCTCACGTGTCCCTGCCTCTCTGTCAGCAGATGGATTGCTCTCCGCCTGCCAGCGGCGGTGCCAGCCCTGGTGCCAGCACCACGTCTACCCCGGGGGGCAGCCCGACCCCCCGCTCCCGAAAACCCGGTGCCGTCATCGAAAGCTTTGTGAACCACGCCCCAGGGGTCTTCTCAGGGACCTTTTCTGGTGGGTGTCCCAGCGTGCCCGTGACCTCACATGTGGCCTGATGCACTCGGGGGGCGCCCGTTGCGTGCGTGTCCGCTCCCTGACGGTGTCCCCGGCCCCCCCACAGGCACGCTGCACCCCAATTGCCAGGACAGCAGCGGACGGCCACGGCGTGACATCGGCACCATCTTGCAGATTCTCAGTGACCTCCTGAGCGCCACGCGGCACTACCAGGGCATGCCCCCCTCGCTGGCCCAGCTCCGCTGCCACGCCCAGTGTGCACCCG